TTTAAACCTATGGAAAAGGATCGATAAACAGGGTTTTCGCAGCGAACACCTTTATAATCGATTCTTTACCATAGGTTTAAATGGCATAATCGATAAATCGCAATTCACGCCACGCTGCTGGAGAGAATCTTATGCTAAGCAAGGTAAACTGCTGACATGTGAGGGTATGACTCCAATGTCTTGTTTAATTGCCTAAGGTTGCTTTTATATGGTACTTTGCTCCAAAGAAAAGGAAGACGAAAACCAAATTTCGAAACTGTACGATGCAACTCAAATCACTGTTTGCATCTATCCTCTAAAGTACCATGCTCGTTCTAAGTGCTCCCTAAACAATTGAGCTTATATCAAATGAGCTTTCGAAAAGTGATTTAGGCACTTATGAGCAATGAGCCGATTGAAGCAAAGGGGAACTCTGTTAAAACTTTTGTAATTGCCGTTAAAAATTTGATTCTCCCTTTTAATTTGTTCTTAATTTTTTAGGGTGCATTCATCACAGAAAAATGTTTCACTCTTTATTTTCAATCTAAAAATCTGAGTGAAGGACAATGGTGGGGTCACTTCGTTTACCACGAGTCAACTCAGGTCTGAGTCCATTATGGCCCAGTTTCCACATTGAATTTCATTTGATTCGATTCAAGTTCGCAATCTCTCTGTGTTGTTGGCGAAAATTCTTTCGATTTTGCTGAAGACTTACTAAAATTTTCATGGTTTTTTTGAACTGCTGAACACCGCAACTAGTTAACTTCTCTGCTGTGTTAGGGAAAAACTCCGCATGAGTATTAGCACATTGTCAGATTCCCACTGATAAATTATTTTTTACTGTGAAAAGTTGAGAATATTATTTCTCGCAATTTTCAGATAGGTTAGATTGAGGCGCGAATGCAATTTTCCGAAAAATTCAAGATGAAAAAATCACAAGTTACTTAGAAAATTCTTATTTTATCAAAGGAGATTTAGATTCAAATGCATATACACGCTGGTTTTCCACAACAAGCCACCATAGACGCTTTACTTAACTGCGATTAACTTCTTTTGACCTTCATGTTCCTATTCTTTTTTCTGGATAAAATATTGAGAATTATGCTTTCTTAAGAATGAATCCTATAATCGATTGTGCTTTAGCTACTTTTAGCCAAAGAGGAGAGAAAATGAAAAGGGCATTTTGAACCACCTTATTTAAAAGATACAAGTTGTTTCCATACTAAAATACCGCAGAAATTTCTTTCACTGAGTTTTAAAACTTTCAGAAAAAAATACATTATAATTAACTAAAACGAAACAATTGTATTTTCTAATATTAATTCTACATCAAAAAAATGCGTTAGAAAATGCTTAGGTATACAGACGTAGGTATGTATATTTGCTTTGAGGCTCAGAATAGCCTACTCTTTAAGGTGTGCGTCGCGAATTTGCATCAGATTTTGCGATAAGGAGCCGCTAATAGGCTCATTTCAAAAACATTAAATGTATCGTTAGTTGTCCGATGCATGCCTCTAAGGGATGAGCCCAAAAAACCAGCTTCTTATTGAAAAATTAGTGCATTTGGACACCAATCAAGATTGGCCTAATTACGAGGTGAGTTTCGAAAAAAACACGTATTTACTTCATCACCATGAAGGACGTTCCGTTTTTTCCCTTTTCTTTTAAGAAAAACTCTCTTTGCACATAGATCGCTTTTACATGCCGCCCTCTCAACACATTTGTTTAAATTGTTCATGTCCTGGCATATCTCTTTAAAAATTACAATTTTGATTTATTTTGATGATTAATTGTCTTTTTAAATAAAAAATTGTAAATTTACTCGCACGCTCTTGAATTTTTTTAATGGATTCTTTCACCTAAGTAGCATCTAATTAGGACGCATGCAGAACAAAGGACGTATTAACATTAGATTTCTTAGCTAAGCAAGAACTTTATGTATAGTTAATCATTTAACTGTTTTCAATTTTTTAAATCGGCTACCGTCTAATTTTCAAATTTCAAAAAATACTAGGAGAACGCAAAAAGTAAAAAAAGACACTGTCTGAAAAGTAACAAAAGTCGAAGTCCGTACTGTACATTGGTAAAAAAGGGAAAACGTAGACCTATATCATGTATTAGTCTCATCACATTCATGTTTAGATCTCTAAAAAAAAAGAGAGGGAAAAATTCAACGCTGTACACGGCCCGTTCAAAAACGGGTGTAACGATTAACGGCTATACATTTTAGACCTTTTAACCTAAGCTCATATAAAACGCTGCCGCGTGTCTTTGGGTCTCTTCCATCAGCTGAAATGCACTATTAAAACTACTGAGGCCGATGTGAGTATTGGGATAAAAGGGGATCTTCTCTGCAATTGTCATAATCGAAAGTGGTAAAGTCAGCTCTTTCCGGTAATTTTCCGGCCAAGGGCGGCAAATGGATACCCAAGAAAAAACGCATGAAGGACACTTAAATCTGGACCTAATCCTAATGATCCTGATGAGAATATCGAATACACGACCGTTCAACATGTGTGATAGCATGGTAAATTCCAATATTGTCAGACTACAGGAAATTTTTTCCATTTGGAGAATATTATTGTCAAAATTGCACCCAAAACTGCGAGAATAAAGAGAAGTTTTCATTTTAGAAACATAGTCCTATCCAGTTGTAAGCCTTCACTGGTAGGCACATTTTTGGGAAACTCTAATAATGAAAAAAATAGGGATGACATTGCTACGTATGACTATGTAAATACGAGATTCGAACGGTCATGAAGTCGTTATTTTCACCATAAACTGAAAAAACTGTGTCCTTCACCGCACATGAAAGCAGTGAGTAACAGGATTTAAATAAGACAATCAAGTTCCGATTTGCTCCGTGTGTAGGGATTCAATTGATGTAGGCTATGAGCGATCGCCGCCAATTTGCATGCAACTAGTGTTGCTTAGAAAAGCATAAAATTCAGAGATGAAGGAAGTAGATTAGAGTGCTGATTGTTTTGCTTTCAAATGGAATAGACGCGTTTCCCTTTTTAAAAGCATAAAAAGAACTGGCACACTCAGGAGAGCATGTAGTGAAATCCGTGACCTACTTTGAGTTTGGGTCAGATAGGCAACTAAACTAACTCCTTGACAGGGCGTAAAGTGTCACGGGACAATGAAGGCGCTCTGGAGGTAGATGGTGCTTTCAAAGATCGTTACAATACACCTTCATCCATCCATACGTATTATTGCAAATTAATCGAAATAACACTTAAGACGCTTGCAAATTGTCTGCGATTGCTAACAGATCACCATTGCAAGGTACGAAATTGAGAACCACGTCTACATTTCTTCATCGAAATTATTACGTGGAACACGATGGACGCATATTATAAAACAATCTTACCTCAACTCATAGTTTAAAAAATACACGTTCTGTATCCGTTATTTCACGCTTCCCTCTCATAGAAAAACCGGGATCTACTTGAGTCAAATCGAACATTTAAGTGATTTCAGTATATTTTACGATGCGACGGGAGAGTTATCCTGCTGTCTAATTACTTTTCTTTCTTTTTTTCCTTTTTTTTGACAACCAAGTTCTAGTTATTTGCTTAGTTTAAAGGTTGATTTAAATGCCTAACTGGACTTTATTTTACAATTAGGAACTAAAATTTATGGCTCACCAGTAAAAAAACATGTATGTACAAAGGGAAACTAATGGTACATACGTTTTTCCTAAACTTTACAAGAAATCGTAGCTCCCAATTGCAAAATACTGTCCGATTAGGCATCTGTCCGCAGGTGGGAAGTTCAAATTGACTGTTTACAATGTGCACTACGAATGTTTAGGATTTGGAAGGATCATTCAACGAAGGAACAGAAGGATTAGGAACGAAGGATTCAAAGGAACATTCAACGTGTTCTGCGTTTTCGATGAAAAAACACGTGCTGTGGTGCTTAATTTCTTACCCCATCTAGTGGTCGATAGACAGATTTAGTGACAACTTCATTCGATTTAGTATCGAACTCAATGGTTCAAACCAAAACAAATACATATAGCCTTTTGTACAAATTCCATGTGAGTTAATTGTGTAAATAGATAGTCATTGGCGGTTAATAAATCGATAAAGGTCTCATTAAAGACGATTTGGATTGCAAGAACTACTTGGACGCATTATACCACCATGGCACGAAAGGCGCGAATCTGAGACGAGATTAACATGTATTTGTTTACATTTGAAGCATGATGTAGCCATTAAATCATGTTGCCTGCAACCATAGAGTACAATTGAGTCGCAATGTTCTGGAGTGCCGATGAAGTCACTTTTTGAGGCTGTTTTGTCCAGTTCTCCTGAGACTAGTGTGCGGCGACTGGCGATGCCGTATGCGCGGAGTCCCAGCAGTCTTTGCTCAGAAAATACAGGTATAAAATTTATTTCAGAAAAACCGGGAGTGTTATACATTTTTTAATTTGCTATGATTTCGGTTAACGCAATTTGCCAAAATTCGCGGAAATAATGACTGGTCGAAATGAATGAATCCCGAAAAATATTCGCAGCCCGCGATTTTCCCATAAGCCGCCGTGTTAAAAATTACCGAACGGTTCCCAAATGGTTCCCACTTTCCGGCGAACAAGGGGCTCGGAATGGCCCGTTCATGGATTGACTTCATTGGCGATTCAGGACATTGCGACTCTATTCTGCCGTGCTAAGGAAGAACGCCGTATGAACATTCGAGAGTTAAATTTCCTTTGATAAAATGTTCATTTTTGAGGTAAGTTATGAATATTTTTCCCTGAAATTTTCGGGAACTTTAGGTGAAATTAAGATCAAAATTATCTGAAAAATTGGAAAGAAAATACTCATAAGTTTACCAGAAAATTCGTGCTTTATCAAAGGAAATTTGGCAACGCCTGAAGGTTCATACGGCGTTTTTCCTTAGCATAACAGCACTCTAGTTGGACTACATTTTGCAATTTGGAACTATAAATTCCAGCCCGATTTAAAAACAACGTATGTGCCATTAGTTTCCCTGTGCACATAAGTGTTTTTCCAGAGGAGCCAGAATTTATAGTTCCAAATTGCAAAATGCGGTCCAGTTGTACTCTATGCATGTGACACACATTTGGGAAGCTGTTTGGGTTAAACCATGGTGCCGCCTCCTTGGCCGTTGGACGCGGGAGGCGGGGGCGGGGGTGGATTGGGAGAGGGGGGCGTGCGTGGGTAATCGGTTTCCAGCTGATGGAAGAAACTCTCGTTTAATAATTGTTATTCCTCGAGGTTAGGAGGTGTGCGCCGGGGGTCGGGGGCGTGGGGAGCGTGGGGGTCCGTGGGGGCCTCCGGGGAGTCGGAATCCGAATCGCTCGAGGTGTCGAAGGAGGAGGTGTTGAGCGTGCTCGGCAGGGAGAGTTGACGCACTTTCGAGGAGGCCCGGCTCACCGGCCGCAGGCTCCACCGCTCCGAAAGCGAAGCCGTCGAACCGCAACCGCTCACTGAAACGAAAATCAACCAAATTCGTTTCATTTTTAATTAAGTAGTAGAAAAAAGTTAGTAGGAAAAAGTTAAGTAGAAGATCCTTGATTGGGTTCCTCCTGGGAGAAGACGCAGAGGGCGCCCAATGAAAGGTTGGAGGGAGGGGATTGAAGCGGAAATGTTAAGGTGCTCAATCCACAGATTAGTCCAGATCGCTAACATCCAATTTAGCCAATGCTTAGAAAGCGTGAGTAATTTTGCTTCAAGTTAGGCAACTTTAGAAAATTGATGGCACTACCAGTAGTGAAAGGACTTGACCGGATTGAGAGAAATTTCCTCTTGATTCTGATTATAAAGCTTTAATAAAGTATAGATAGTAATGTATAATAATGGTTTTTGATCAAATAAGATTTTATCAAGTACTGTTATGCTAAGTATTCTGTTTCAATATTCTTACAACAGTTGGTAGCAATTAACTGCTCTCATGGGGGCCTGGCGGGAATTCAAAACTAGGAACCAAAAGTCTCATTTTGGCAGGATTTTGCTTTAATTTTCGGTTTCTAAGGCTTTAAACTTCAAAAATATGATATATTATAATCTGCAAATTTTTTCAATAATGTTATCTACTCAGTATACTGATGAACTCTGATTTGTTCATTTCCACCGATAAAGCACAAAAACATAGCCCGATTATACGAATAAAGAAGGAGAATTAATTAAAATACGGGTAAACAAGGCTAAAAATTATTGAAACACTTAAAGGCAGGACGTTTCGAGCTGCTACCAGCTCATTTTCAGCTGCAAAAACACATAAAAACAAGTAAAAAATTGAGTGGCGACCTGACCCCAGCCGTTATTATGAGTGGTTACGTGATAACGGCTGAGGTCAGGTCGCCACTCAATTTTTTACTTGTTTTTATGTGTTTTTGCAGCTGAAAATGAGCTGGAAGCAGCGCGAAACGTCTTACCTTTTAGTGTTTCAATAATTTTTAGCCTTGTTTACTCGTATTTTAATTAATTCTCCTTCTTTATTTATTTCCGCCTTAATTATTTAATCTGGAAATATTGAACCACATAAATTCTACTGAGAAACTAATTCTTGAATTCTTCGGAACGTTTCATCCCACAAAAATCTGAAAAAGAAGTATTCTCCCGCCAAAATTTCAGTTTTGGTTCCTAGTTTTAAATGCCCATGGATTTTCCCGCCAATGGCGCTCACAAAACTACTCACGCTCCTCCGCCGATGTTAGCGATCTGGACTAATCTGTGGCTCAATCCCCCAAGATTTGTGGTTTGAAAAAGAGCAGTGGAGGTTAGGAGTCGTAGAGCGCGAGGGAGTGCTGTAAAGTGACTTATAGGTATGTAGTAGAGAAAAAGGACGTATTTATGCGAAATGAAACTATATGCGAAAAATCAGTGAGAACGAAAACACACCAACTCGGGAAAATGAAAATAATCAAGACGCACACAAAACTGCACAGTAGGTGAAGAAGTTAGTTTAAGAAAAATATTTCAGCTGCCGAAAGACGAGCACTTATGGACACTTTAAAGGCCCAAGTTAAAACAGACGCGCTAACTTCAATGACCTTCATGTAAATTAACTATCTTTCATGGAAATTGAGAATTTTCAAGTTACCGAGTTGGTGTGTTTTCGTTCTCACTGGTTCAAGTGGAAAGATGGGGTGTGCTCGTTAGTGCTCGGGCCATAAGAATGAATGGGACTTCAAAAGCGCCAGTGACGTCAACGGTGAGGACCGGGTACGAGGAGGCCCGACCCGAGCGACGACGACTAGGTCGTCAGTCTTTAACTCATGAGCCCTGTCCACAACGCTCTTGTCACATGCCCACGGCTCACAAATTAGCGCTCAGTTCCTCTTGATTTAATGTCAACTCCCGCTCATCAATTTTCTCAGAAGGAATTATATCCACTTTTACATTATTTCTTATCCAGCTTCCACGAGCACACCCCATGTTTCCACTTCTACATTGTTTCTTATGCAGCTTCCACGAGCACATCCCATGTTTCCACTTCGACACAGTTCCTTTTAGCATATATACGTCTAAGTATTAGTCAGGGACAACCGGGGGAGGGGGGGGAGGAATTAGGATTGAGGATCCCACCAGGACCATTAGAAATTCTTAAAAGAGGCCCCAATATAGATTCCTTGGAAAGGGCCGGATTGGGCCCCCCAAAATCTTACCAAAAAGGGCCCTTGCGGTGCCCTCTTGGTCAAAGTTAATCATCTTCAAGCTCCCCATGGCCAGTACACCCGTGATAGTGGTCGTAGAGAAAGAGAATATAATTTTTATATGAGTTCCTAATTATCGATGCCAGAGAAAATTAAAGTGCTTTGGAAATCTTTAATTTGACACGGAACCACCGATATTTAAAATACACATTATATTATTATTCTCCTTTGATAAATTGATACATATTTTTTCCCCCATCAATTTGAATGAGAATAATCAATGCAGAGTGTGCACTGTGCAAACATTTCAAAATCATGAGTTAAAAAACGCTGACTATGCGAGTATAAATATCAAAGCCGAACAGAGCGGAGTGGCGCGGCGTGCTGCCAGCGCGAGAGGCTCACTGGCGCCTACAAACCTAAGTGGATACTTCAAGCATTGCACAATGCTTGAAGTATCCACTTAGGTTTGTAGGCGCCAATGCGCGTTTCGCGCTGGCCGCCCGCCCGCCTTGCGGCGGCGCCTGAAGCAACTATTTCACAACAGAGGTGTTGCACAGTATTATACGAAATTGAACGTATTAAGAATGACAGGCATCCTTTAAAAGTACAGATCTCTCCTCGCAAAATAAATCATGATACTTATCGTACACAGGAAAAATCTAAGAGCCTTCAGCTGAGGCAAATCAAGAGGTTTATCCGGTTCCGGTATAACGAAGTGGGAATTTTTGATGAAATTACCTTTCTCCTTAAGACTTTTTATCCGGTTTTTAGACGATAGCAATTTCGATGTTAATCATCATCATCAGGTCACTTCGACTTCGATTTGGTAAACACTAACAGTCACATCTTATATTATTGAAATTTACTAAAATTTACTAAAAAACACTTTTAAAAATACTCGTGGGTGCGCACCCGTCGCCGCGAACGCCTCTTATCACCGGTGTTTCTAGAAGCTATTTTCACGAGGAAACCAATGAAACCATTTATAGAACCTCGAAACTATGCATTAACGGAGTTATAAGCTCTGAAAATTTCCAAATTTTCTCCGACCTCTCTCGTTGACTCGATCCACTGTGCGGCGCTGCAGAGTTTTTCCGGTGTCGGTATTAAATTCCTCTTATTCCAACAGCTCTAAGAGTGGGCAAATAAAAGATGAAGATTGCCACTGAACTGACCTGTAAGTAACTCTTCTTCGGGGATAGCGTCGGGGCTGAGTTCGAGCATGGAGCCCCTGCGAGGGGTGAGGATGCGGCGGCTCTTGTTCGGGCTGATGAGCATCGCTCCCGAAGATCCGTTATCCTCGATGAGAAGCACCGACGAAGGCGAGTTAGGCGCCATCCCCTCCACCTGGTTCAGGGATCCCTCCGACTCGTTCGTCACACTGCTCTCCCGCCGGAACAACCCTGAGTACAAACGAATTTAAATGAAATATTTCAGTCGTCTCAGAAATAAACGCACATGAAATAGGGTTGGGAATGAGTTAATGAAATTTCAAAATTTTGACATGCGGAGGAAATTTTTCAGTGTGTCATAGTACAAAGACAGTACCCTCGACCTCAAGGGCCAATAACTTTCTGATCCATAATTATAAATAATGCACCTTTATACAGGTCAGCAAGTCGTTGCAGGTGAAATGCCTTCAATTTAGAGAGTATGCAAACCGCAAATGTGCGGTCCCCTTGTGCCTGCCTGCCTGCACCCTGGGCCCCTCAGCGCTAGTCCGGCATTGAATAAATTGGACATCGATCAATGAGAAAAATAAGGAGGAAAAGACGATAAAGAAGAAGAGGAAGATGAAGTGAAGAGATAGGAAATGGTAGAAGAAGTAAGAGGCAAATTAAAGAAGAAAATGGAAGAGGAGGAATAAGTAGGAAGAAGAGGGAAGAAGAAGGAAGAGAGGGAAGGAGGAATGGAGAACGGGGGCGGCAGCGAAGAGAAAGACGAAAGAAAAGAGATAAAAGAAGAAGACGCACAAAAAAAAGGTCGAGAAAAAAGGAGGAAAAGGCAAAATCAAATTATCCTTGTTCCTTTTTCGTCTTTTTCTTCTGGTTCTCATCCCTCTCTTCTATCTGTTTGCTCCTCTTTTTCTGCTGCTTCTCGAATAACTGACTATAATATAAGGGCGTTGGACGCAACTCGACGCACACACCAGTAACTGAAATTTCCTAACTTGTGAATTGAATTCGTCCTACTCCTTTCAGAACGTTTTGACGCCTTTCAGCTCCGCCTCTCAGCTTTTCTTCTCTGAATTTTCTTTGTGTCCAAAAGTTCAAAAGTAATCGTCTTCACGGCTCACTGCGCAGATGAGGCCTGCACAAATTGACGCAAGCAACTTCCGCTCTGTCAGTTAGCGATCTCAATAAATTGACATTCCCTCACGATTCTGGGAACGATTCGTGACCTCAATTTACTAGCAAGAATTATTTCAAAGGCATCTATTTACTTCCTGTGCACCCAAAATCTGACCTTTTACCTTCCTAACTCCACAGCGAAATTCTCCGAGACATTAATACAGTAACGATTTACTGATCAATTTGTCATTGAAGCTTGAATCTGGAAATGTTGAGAACCTGAATTTTTCCATTGTTCGAGAGTATGCTAATCCGTTTTAAAACTTTGCATGTTTAGTTAACAAATCGACGATTTTACTCGTACTAGCCAACTTGGTATATCCCTCTCCGTATGTTGATTAGTAAAATCATATAGGCGGAATTAAGGTCATCGCGAAATTCCACGAATCTCCCGCGTCTAGATCGGCGTATACGAACAAAAATTGCGAAGGAATATCTCCTTTGATCTGTCTCGCGTATGATATCGGAATGCGAAACTTGCATTTCATCTTCTTCTCCCCTTCCCTTCTTCTCCCCCAAACTCATTCGCGCTTCGTTTATTCAAATCAAATATCCTACTCGCTTTTAATAAAACTGTCATAATGAATATTTAACAATCGCCAAACTCCAAAAAGAGGATGGTGTCATAAGTTTTCCATCAAACGAATAAGCTGAGATTAAAAGTGTTCTAAAATAGATTGTTTCATTTTTTTTTTTTTTTTTTTTTTTTTTTTTTTTTTTAGAAAAAAATGTTTCATTTGTCCACTGGTCTATCCAGTCATGAGAGAGAATATGCTGATTGCACTTACCAAGAAAAGTGGCAGAGGGTGAGCTGTAGGCAAGGTATTCTTTATTGGAACACCAGGCAGGGAACTCGTTCTGTTTGATCGGTCCTGTGTCCACCTCACCAACATTGTCGCCTCGTTTCCATGGCAGCATCTTCTCTAGAGCAGTTGGTGTTGTCACTCGACTCGAATCACCGCCAGAGGCTGCATCATGTAAAAAAAAAAAAAAAAAAAAAAAAAAAAAAAAAAAAAAATTAAATTTAAAATTAACCCGGACATTACCAACTGAGTATCTATTATAAAAAATATCCAAAAAAATAAATACATATTTTGAATCGTAATTATAGCTTGTAGGCAAGCATACAAGAATACCAAAAAACTTATCTTTAACTCTAAAAACGTAGTTAGTTAGTTGGTTAGTTAATTTTATTTATAGACATTCAGCATCCTAGGCTTTTAACGTCTTTACAAAGAATTCGGAAGCTGAACATTTGGATTGCATTTTGCAAAAAAGAACCAAGAGCATTATTTTCAATGTCGCTCAGATTGTGCAACTATGTTTACCTTGCAAATATAAACTGATCAGTGATCATCTTAAGAAGATTCATCTTTACTCTCAATAAACTATAAATTCATGACGAAAATTAACTTTGTGAATTTATTTTTTGCATGATTTCAGTAATTGTGTTGCAAAGAATGTAAGTTGCACAATCCTAGCAACATTTGATTCCTATTTGCAAAATGCAATCCCTTTATCGTGTTCTTAACGATACGTGTTTTATCTTTTCGCCTTACATATTCGCCTGATCTTGCAGTATCCGACTTTACAACTAACTTCATTAATTCCTATGATTTTCTAAATTAAAGTGACATTGACAGAAATTTCATTATCATGGGGCTAGCTTTGTGACATATTTTTCACATAATTCTTGTCAGCATGCTCTTTTTGCCAGGGGCAAACTGAACGCCAATCTCAGTACAAAAATATAACATTTGGGAAAGTCCTCATTTAAGTGGATAAGAGAGAAATACTTACGACCATTCATTGTATATTCTCTGACAAGTTTCTTCGCCGCGTTGTTTAATTCAAAAGGCAACTCATCTGCAACATTGACGTAAACTCAGGTAAATTTTACATTAAAAAATGTTTTAAAAAATTGGCATCAAAATTTTGTTAAATTCTATTAAATACCTACTGATATTGATGATGACACATATCGATACGAAATGAACTGCAAAATGGGCCTGTTGCATGCAAGAGAGACAGCCGTGCGAATAGACTTTTAAGAGGTTAAATGACACGAAAATTACAATGGTCACATTAAAAAAGTCTAAAATACACTCCTTACTGCGCAGTTTGTGTTGTTAGGAACGCGCATTTTCAAATTTCCCGCGCCTGGGGGCAGTTTTCTAACGGAAACAATTAACGGCAACTCGCGGCTATTTCCGGTCAACTAAAACTGACAACATAACCTACAAATCGGAGCTCGTGACATCGTGAAATGAAATGTAGAAGGATAGCGTCGAATATTTGAAAGTTGATCAATTTGGTTACCGCATAAAGCGTATACGGACCACTGGGGGGTTTGTAAACAAACTGAAGGAAAAAATAACAACAACAACAACAACGACTCGGCATCTTCCGGTAATCACCGAGCCCGCCGTTTGCTCGTTTCCGGTGATTAGAAAACTGCCCCCAGACGCGGGAAATTTGAAAAAGCGCGTTCCTAACAACGCAAATTGCGCAGTAAGGAGTGTATTTCAGACTTTTTTAATGCGACCATCGTAATTTTCGTGTCATTTAACCTCTAAAAAGTCTGTTCGCGCGGTTGTATCTCTTGCATGCAACAGGCCCATTGGGAATATAAAAAAGTAATTTTTTTCGTAAAATTGTATCAAAATAAAGAAGTAAAAAATCTGTAAAACTGCAGTGATAAAATACCTGTAAAGTATCTACAATGTGGCAATTTCACGTCAAAAAAGGAACAACAGATATTGTCTGCCTCGGATATTTGAACAATTTTTTAAGAGTTTTCTTCGGGAAATTTATGAGGTTTTCAACTTTTTTTAACAGCCAATGTTGCTAGGGATTTTCGTATCCAACGACCATGGTCTAGGCACTTAACGACCTGAATGACAAGAGCAGTGAGATTGAAAAATGCCTTCAATCACGAATGATACCATGTGCGCTACAGAAGAGGTAATATAGTTGTATCGCGATCCACGCGAGCCTGAATGTTATAAACTCGCCACTTTTTCAGAGTTCACTTTAGCATTCCTCCAACCAGAAACCAAAATATTTATTTGGCAAAAAAGCCCATTATTCAATTTATTTAGCCAAGTATTATATATTCATTACAGTATGCATACAGGCTGATGGCGCACGTCTTAGAATCTGATCTGCGCCAACCAAAATAAGATGCGCCCATTATTATCAAGTCCGGGTTGGAAAACTATACGACGGCGAAAGTCCGCGATCACATATCTCGTTTTGAAAATCTCCGCCTCTGTGTTATTTTTTTTAAAGGAGAGCAAATTGACAACATTCCTTTAAGTTTTTGCAAAAAATTTTTCGTACAGAGAAGAAAAATCACGGCAATTTTAAAGAATTGCCGTTGAGTAGTTTCCGTTTAAAAGATAAAGTATGTCAGGAAGCTGAGACGTCGCAAACCGAGTTATGTGATTGTCAACTTACACCGTCGTATGGCTTTTTGGTAAGGCATTCTCGGGGAACATAACTTTTCTTATAATGGAGTTTCTTGGGGTTCTATGAATACTTCCATGTTGGGCAATATTCTTACGGCGAAAAATCTTGGAAACGGGTCTTACGAGATTATTTCGGGTTGAAGCTTGGAAATTGCAGAATAGTTGGAAAGGTGGGAACTCCGAGTGGGGTGCGTGAAAGCGGAAAGCCAGCTCCAGCTGGTTCACGTCAGTTGACGTCAGTTTCTCTCAATTTTAAATCCCCCGTCTCCGTCCCCGGCACTGATCCACGCACGTCATGAGTACGTTCCGTGTCGCTAAGTCGCTTTTATCATACCGTACTTAAGTATGAAAGTTTTACGTTCCTCGGCGAGCGCGACGGGATGAGTGGTTTTCAAGGGGATTCCACCCTCAAAACCGGAGAGAGGTGTCATTTAAGGGAGCGAGGGAACGACGAATACCTTGATTACATTATGCAATAAGGAACCCCTGGCTCTCCTATAAAACCACATATCTGCACGGGTAAACCAATGGCATGTACGTTGTTTCTAAAATGGGACAGAAATAGTGGTTCCTTATTGCAAAATGTAATCCACTTCATCTCTCTCTTATTTTGAAATTTTAGTAATTTTTTGAACGGTTTTCGTTATTTTTATGGTGGTTCTGTTGCGTTTTAGAGAGCGATTTAATAGTCGCGGTCCATCTGTTGATATTAGGTATCTTTATCGTGGGACAGTTTTTCGAAAATTTTTACATTTCGCTGAGCCACAGCTGGACGTTTTTCTATCAAACGGAACTAAGCGCCATGGGGAAAGGAAGGGAAAGGGGGGCTTGGATTGGCGGGTGTTGCGGAACGCGATGCTCGTTCCGTCCTATACTCGCAATGCTTTTTCACGGCGCTTAGTTCCGTTTGACAGAACGCGCTATCCGGGATTCTAAAATCCTCGAAAGGAACGCAATTTGGCGCTTAGTTCCGTTTAATAGAACTACGTCCAGTTGCATTTCATTAAAGTTTTTCCGGAAACAATGTCTACTTTTATTTCCCCTTCGAAAACGTGATGATGAGATACGTCAGGTGAATTAGTAAGCAGGTTTAAAAAGCTTTGATATTACTCAAAAAGTAAGTCTTAAACGAAATGGTATCGAAAATCGTTTTGTTTTTCAATTTACAGTGAACAAGAAGCTCTTCAGGGCATATCCCAATCTTGCAACAGGTGCAAAACGATTTTCCCCGACAAAGTTCGGCGTCAGGCACATTAATATCGCTCAGCTTTAGATGCAGGAGATTGTTCTCATTTTGCTCTGTCACGATAGATAAACAATGAATGGGAAACTGGAGTGCGCATAAATGATAATAGAGCCTGTAGAAGTGCAGCGTTTACGAAAATGTATTGAACTTACGAGATGGTTTTGCTGTGAACGTAATGCCGTTCTCCCAGTCTTCTTTCGCATTTTCTTCATTGTCTTCAGTCTCTTGTAATACTTCATCTATGTAATCTGCAAAAGAATATTGAAAATTTATTGAGAGCGTGATCAAAAAACGGACACGAAGTTAATAGTAAAAACGAGAACTTGGATGCGTGATTTTCCTCAAAATGTAAAGGGATGCTTAAATTAGGAAACATGAGTTTTTCTGTCGTTTCTTCGAATGATCTCCGCTGTTTTCTTGATTTTAACCGCACAGTCCACAGTTCGTTTAAACACCCCTGTCGAAAAAATGTACCCTTATTATTGGGTTGTGCAAGGATAAGCTATGCTTAAATACGACACACCAGTCTAATACATTATAAGATACAGCTCCACAAGGTTGTATGCGGCTAATTTCAAATCAACAAAATTACGCCTGTTTTTCCTGCCGTGTATCATAGTCAGACAAGAATGGCATGGCATAGATGTGATCCGCGCAGAAAATTTTAATTCTATCAAAGCACTCATTATTTGTATTGATTCATTTTAGATAAAACACGGGTGTGTCGATGTTTCCATTATTTGGACGCATTTTTGCTAAACGGAACGAAAGACGTGTGGGGAAGATGGGGTGTGCTTATGGTGAGCTGTATAAGAAACAATGTAAAATTGGGCGTGATTCCTTTTGGGGAAATGTAAAAGTGAGGTAAGCCGACTGTAAGCGGCACTTGTGAGCCGTGAGTATGTGGCAAGAGCGTCGTGGCCAGGCTCATGAGTTAAAGAGCCCCGTCCTCGATCCCAAATCCGTCACCGCTGACGTCACAGGCGCTTTATAATTCCTATTCCATCTTACGTCCCTCAACTAACGAGCACATCCCTTTTTTCTCCACCTGTCCCTGGTTCCGTTTAGCAGAAATACGTCCATTTTCAACTTGAAAACATAAATATGGAGAAATAAACGAATGACTTTCTGATTTGTATGTTTGCTCAAAAAATAGCACTTACCATGAGTGAACTGTTTAGCAGAACCATTTTGTTGTATACCAGGAAAACTGACGTGATTCTGTTTCCCATCCTGCAAATAGGAGAGATAATAGTTTAACACCGCAAAACTTTCAGCTTTCAATAAAATTTGCATTCTAAAATACTGCACAGAATGCATTACAATATACATAAAATACTGAAACGAGCAGTTCCAACATATCAGTGTTGAAAAGCGCGCCCATATGAAGGTATATATTTTAGCTGAGGGTAAATTGATTTGGAAACTGTACAAAAAATAAATACATGTCGACGGCGTAACTCGTAAGTCCGCAATCACATATCTCGTTTGTGGTGTCTGAATATCTCCACCTCTATGTTATTTTTTTAAAACAGAACAAATTGACATCATTCCTTGAAGTTTATGCAAAATTTTCTTCGCACAGAGAAGAAAAATCACGGCAGTTTTAAAGACAGCCATTGAGTAGTTTTTCGTTTAAAAAATAAAGTATGACAGGAAGTCTGCGACGTCACAAACCGAGCTATGTGATTGCCGACTCACACCGTCGATACATCTTGATTGCAAGGATATAGATACTTCTTGAAAAGCCAATACAGCACCTCAGGCCTCGTTCGCCATCAAGGATTTTCGAATTTTGAAAATTCGACTAAGGTATTCGAATGTCTTATCAAAAAATTTACCTCGAGATACCGAGTTTCACAAAAATCGATCGAACAGGAACCGACATAGCATTTTAGGCGACGGCGACGTCGGCTATCTTGGATTTTGTAATTTTTAAAATAATTTAATTCAAAATTAACGATTTTGAATTACTGCGGATGTGGCGTAAAATGCCATATTGGCTCCTGGTTGATCGATTTTTGTGAAACTCGGTGGCAGGTTGGTGTTTTCCGACGGTGGCTGTCCTTGACATGGAAGTGTGTTCTCTGCATTAAAAATTCAGATTTTCAACTTTGGTTTGGGTAAAGTTGAACTTTCATTTTTAACCCCAATTTTCGGCTCTTTATAACACCAATATGTGAAAATTACTCATAATTTTGCATTCGACGTATGCTGCGCAAACAGCACTCAAACTAAACGCATTACGACGCCAACGCTCCGTAGGTTGCGGTCGGACCAATGAAAAACGCCTTCAATTGGGTATGATACTGTGCATTACACCAAAGTTGATATATTTGTATTCTTAGGTTGGAGCCTAACGAGAGCAAGTTGCTGATAGAGAGATGTCAACTTGATAACTGCTGTATTTCAAGTCTTCTCGCATATTTTATGCCCTGTGACCAAAAGTTATGCCTCAATTGATTTAAAAAGAAAGATTTATCATTATTCATCCGACCAACGAAAGAGGCTCACCTGCCGGAAAACCTGTTCTTGTGACTTTCACAGTTTCTGAGTGCGCCCGGTATATGTATCGGAGGATACTTTTTGAACGTAACTTTTAAACTTCATTTTTGAGTCAAACGTTCAAAATTTCAAGATCCAAGATGGTGGACGTGGCGCAAAATGCGGTCTCAGCTCCTGTTTGATCGATTTTAATGAGAATCGGTATCAGAATGTATTTTTGACGGGAAACTCGAATTTGAGTTTAAATTTTCATATTCCAAAACCCGAGACGGCGCACGTTGCCTGAAGTGGTATATTAACTTTTCCAAAAGTATCTACTCTTGCATAAAAGAAGTTGGGTTCCTCCAAATGGGCGTCGAAGAGAGCATCCAGCTGAAAGGAGGATATAAGGCTCTTAATGATGGAGAGATGCCAGCTTACGGAAAATCTCTACCATGACAGATTCCTGTTGCTGTTAGGCGTCGCAAAGCGCCCTAGTGGGATGCAAAAGCGAATCTTACGTGCATCTGTCTTGCAACCAAGATATTATGTATTTAGTTTCTGTTCATTTTCAAAAGCGATTCACCTCGAGTTAGGTTGATATAGGTGATATGGGTGATACAAACTTGATATGGGTGCGCTTTCCAACAACGATGTGTTGAAACTACTTGTTTTCGTGCTCTAGAGAGGGAAAATAAATTATGAAAAATTATTTTAAAAAATTAATAATAATAAATTTTGCTTTTGACCCCCTTGAGCAGAGCTAAACAAACAAAGATACCGCGCAGTTAATTAAAATTAAAAAGAAACGAGACATTTTTTTTCGCAGAAAGCAAAAAGGAAAACCCTAAAACAAGAAAACCCTTTATGTTTCACAAAACTGGGCTCCTTTCTATCAAACCTTACCTAGCTCCAGTTTTTATGCGAGACAACATCACTTTTCTCTTTTCTCTTTGTAGAGCAGTGCGAGACACTGCAAAGCAGTGGAGTGGAAATAGATGCATTCATGCAGGGCCCAATTTATGTGCATGCGCCGCGGCGTTGGGCGCAAGATTTTGGATCCAGAAATAAATGAGATGGGAGGAAATTTTTACATAAAACTTCAAAGAAATAAAACTTTCAAGTGAAAATTCCAAGGTATTGTTTCAAATGCTGAGGGGCACAGCTGCGAGGAGCACTGATGACTTACGTCAATGCAACTCCCCCCCCCCCCCCTATCTCCCTGTTGCAGCTGAAACATCAATAAATTTCGGTATCGAGTCGTTCTAGATCAAGGGTTTCTACAGAAAAAGCAGGAAAATTAGTGTTGGAGAGAGGTTGGTGGAATGTCGTAAAAAAATCACTAACTAGAGGTGTGAGGTAGCCAAGATTGGTCTCTGCATCAAGACGTAACCATAATCAATTAAAATTCTGTCCTCCTCTTTAACAGTATGCAGCAATTGATTCTCGCTTAGAAAGTAATTTCATTTCTATAATTAGCGACTTTGAAAGACCCTTGGGTCCTTAGCCTATACATAACTGGATAGGTTCTTGTATTTTTTTAAATAAAGCACACAAAACATTGTCAAGTTTGGTTGGCTCACCTTCAGTCTTTTACTTCTCTTATGATGATGCTTCCTTTGGTCGCCCATCACTCTCCGAATATTCATGTGCATTCTGTAATTGACTGGTTGAGACGACAGATCCCTGTCGTCCACTGTGTGCCTGCTGTAGCTTAGCCTTCGATGCTGAACATTTTTTTAAAAAAAAAAAAAACGTTATGTAGAAACATTCGAGTAAGTAGAATTACAAAAACCTAATTTGTACCGTGTTTTTGTTGGAATCTGATAATCCTTGCCAAATAATAATATCATGTATCTGTTGACAAACTTAGTGCAATAGTAAGAGGTGAAACTTCCTCTCAGGAGCTGCAACTACTTATTCGAATATTCGTGATATCGTCCAGTTCCAGTGAAAAACTTGCAACGTAGTTCAAATTTATCACCAAATTTTAAAATACTTTTTTTTACAATTTCCGTCTAAAGCAAGAGTCCCGTGATTCCACTCTCTACTTGTGAATTGTATTTTTTTGACGAAATGTTCTCCTACGAGAAAACCAGCAAAGATGTATGATTGCAATATTGTCCAATTTATAGTGGTATAGGTACATAAATTGTTAAAGTACATAAAACAGTTGTAAAAATGTCATCCACTTACCCGCCTATGTGGCTGAACCAATTCCTCCGATAAAAGATGATGGATTTTAGCGTCCGTCAAATCCTTTTTCGATGGGTTGTACTCCAGCTCTTGCAAATCGATATTCCACGTACTGGCATCCAACTGCGGATAACTCGAACTGTTCACAAGAAAGAACATCATTTAGTGGTCACCAGAAAGAAGCATGAGTCAGTTGCGCGGGTCACAGATTCATATTTCGATGCTAGATTCTTGAAGATAAGCTAAACATAATACGATGGCCCAAACAGCAACTCTCTACTTTCAGTATTAACCGAGTTGTCCCGCTTTGAAAAATTCGGTTTATGACATAAAAAATTGACGGAAAATATCTAGAATATCTCTAAAAAATAAATAGTTTATCGGAGAAAATTTGGCAACGCTGTGTTGACAGGACGTTTTTCTTTATGACGGCAGTATAGCTATAAGTGCTCGCTCATTGGAGACAGTAGACCAGCCTCCAAAGTCTCACCGCACGTAGGACGGGTCGCCTTGCCCCCAAGGAAGGCCATAACGCCTTCAACTGATGGTGTATTCAACTGTGACGTATCCTGAACACGTATAATTGCATATTGCATCCTGGCGTTCTTATCGTTGTGTCTTGAAAGGGCCCCTTTCAAGACACGACGATCTGGTTTCCCCTATGGAGCTCATCGCGGAAACTAGATGATCTTTTTAGAAGCGAGGACCATGACGCGTCAGACTTGACTCCTGCGTCGCAAAAGCAAAAATAAGTGTTTTTTTTTCTCAAGACTTTGATATTATTCTTTCGCTGGCGAGAGGAGACACGGGAGAAAAAGCGAGCTACAAAGGACACGGATAAAGGAGCTGTCTCAAGGACTCATTTTGCGTGGGAATAATTAGCCTGTTCCGTTGCGGTATCGTGACTCGCTTTACGGAATCCGGAGTCGCTCGGCTGGCTCCGATGAGTTCCGAGCGGCGACAATCCACGTGAGCCGTTTACTCCGAGCCACTCTCCCTGGGATTTCTTTTTCAATGATTTTTTAAATTTTAATTTCATCCCTCAATTGATGACCATGTTTCAAGTAAAGGAATAATGTTACTTTCCTTAATAAATCGCTACCTCTCTCGTAGCAGGACCATAGAAGGAAAAGGTAAAGATTATGTAAGAAAGTTAATTTTTTTAATATAACGCATGCATACGAAAGTGTTAAAAGTGAACATTTTTATGTAACCATTATATTTAAAAAAAAGTCATAATTTTCGTAAGCTTTTCACAAACATACTTAAAAATCTTCTAATTCGCGAAAAGCTCACGAAAATGATGACTTTTTTATATATATAATAGGTACATAGAAATGTTCACTTTTAACACTTTCGTATGCATGCGTTGCATAAAAAAATAAAAAACTTGTCTATAAAAAAAAAAAAAAAAATTACCTTATCTTGCTTTTATCATTTTTCATATTTCACGGTCAAGTTTGAATTTTGATTTTTGTTTTATATAAGCGTTACACGTTTTTTATATAAAACTACCATTTAGATAACAGATATGTTTTTTTTATACTTTTTTTAGAAAAACAAAAATTTGTTCTGCTACTAGGGCTTGATACAAAAAATATAGTTTCCTCAGCACAACGAAAAGCGCTCAAGGAAAGTATTTCCTTTGTTGAAATCAATCCAATTTTTCTTAGTGCAGCTTTAAAGAAATTACTTTTCATGAGAGATGATTTACGAAAAGATGAGTAATATTTCAGAAACAATCCAAGCGCCAAGAGTCCCCCCCGTTCTGAAAGTTGTTATGAATACGGAAAATCTATACCAGGAAGTGTATATCCCTTTCTTTTTACAAATGAATGGTTCCGTTTTTGAATCAAGTCGAAGCTTGGGCTATAGTTTGCCTCTGCAGTTATTGTCATTGCTCTCTGTTAATATTTAAAACCATTTCGTCTGCCTCGCTGACTCAACGGTGCAGTTTTTAATTGAAATTTTTACCCTCACCAGTGAGTAGTAATAAGATTAGGCGCTTTCTCCGTTGCAATATCGGAATTATTAATGTCTCTACCCCTTCCCTTCAAAGAAACAACACTGATGGCGCACCTGCTGTTCAAATTGCCTGACGTGTAGTTCCTAAATATCGCAGACATGGACTCCGTGCCCGAAATATTTCCGATGGTGGAGGGGATTTTGCGCATGTAGTCCATAGCGTCTTTCATTGCAAGTTTAGAGTATGTTTCTAGGATTTTCGGTTCAGCGCCTTGATGATTTCGAAGCAAATACGGTCGGATGAACTGGTTGTCAAATCTCTTAAACCTGAAACATTAAAATTGCAACAAAATATTTTTTTAAGTGAGATTTGTTTAGTGCATTAAAAATAAATATACATATATATTCCCTGTAAGAACACAGCCATCAAATGAAAAATTCAAAAACACAACCTCGCTTCAAAGTAATTTCGTGGCCAGTGAAAAGGGTCTTCATAACTTAACTCCATTTCGTAAGAAGTACCTAAATAATACATGCAATGGGAGAATTAGGCCGTGAATTTTAGGCTTAATTCTCTCTTAAATTTGTCTTAAAAACGAGCTCCATTGGCTAACTTCAATCAACGAATTGTTGGAAAAATTAGAATAGGCCTCTCGGCAAGACACCTATGAATCTAATTCCCTTTGATCAGTGTTAAAAATACTTATTGATATCTCGTTGAGGAGTCGATTACCGAACTTCTCCGTGTGTGAATCATTTCCTACTTTTGATTTTGAAGCGAAAACATGGGGCTTTTTCCTTGTTCAGGCCCTATTTCGAGGCCCATTGCGATTTATCCGTGGCATCGGATATTTTCCTCCATTTTTAAAATAAGGTTTAAGGTTTAAGGTTTATGGCTAAGAGTTAAGGCTTAATTTAAGGGTTTCAAAATAGCTCTAGGCGATTATAAAGATTATGTTTCGAGTTCTCTTACCTGTCTCTTACATGATGATCGCCGTGACGACCCAGAATGTCTTCAATACCCGTCATCATGTGATCCATTATCTAGAAATAATAATTACACAGTAAAAACGTTGGCATCAGTCGAAATCGGAACGTGCTTAAAAGCTACGCGAAAACCACATAGAGAGGTCGTCGTGAATTATGGGATGGGGCGGAGAAAACGAAATTACTGTGATGTATTATTTATGACATACGCGGACGAAAAAGAGGAGAAACGACGTGCTCGAAGGACACATTGCCTCTTCAGGTCACATTTCTCTTGAGGAATATCTCTTCGGCCTCAATAACTTCAAGATTATGGAAATTTCTTTCTAAACGTACTCTACAATTTTGATCGCATTTATCAAAAAGGGATCGGCTCGATTACAGTGTTTTCAAAACCGCGCGACATCCTTTTTGCATTAATTTGGTATACTAGGGAGCTATGCCCCCTGGCCGCTACAAGCGCCGCGTACTGACGCCTACAAACCTAAAGGGCTACATCACGCATTGCGCAACGCTTGAAGTATCCCCTGAGGTTTGTAGGAGTCAGTACGCGTTTCGAGCTGGCAGCACGCCGCGGCGCAGCGTGCGATTAACTTGCCCACACGTCAAGCCCATACGTCAGGGTGTTAAAATGTAGGCAATTTGCATCAAATTCGAAATTAGCGACTCAAAAAACATCTGTTAACAAACTCTCGTGATCTTCCAGTCATTATCCGACTTATTTCTTCCTATTCTTGAGTTTTGGACCATAGTGCGCCGCGGGTGGCCGGCGGCTCATGAAATTCTCCCCTGTGCTCAACCGCGCTTACTTCAATTTTCAGCTAAATATGAAATTCCCGCCATTTTGCATTGCCGGGAATTTCAAATTTTGCCCCCCTTTCTAAGCTTTCTAGTCTCCTCTAATGTAAAAAAAAAACCTGAGTCATATTTTCAAAATCTGAATAAAATGGGCTCATTTAGAGACAATTGCCTGTTGATAGCCGCAAAAATCATGAAAATCGGCCCGGTAGAACGCTGGAATTAAGCGCTTATCAATTTAAGCGTAAATTTAGGAGGCCCCGGAACTTATAGTATAGATGCTAGGGGTACGATCCATGACAGCTTCGCAGTCCAACCCTCTCGGTGCTTTGCGCCTGACCCGTCACGCAAATGGCTTTATATCACAGAGGAAGATATGTACAGTAACATATTTAAACGCAGTTTTCCTTTGAAATTGACACTATTCTAGGAGGAAAGTAAAAGCTATTTGCTGGTCTAGGCATTTTTTGGACGAAGATGAGGATCGAATTTGAAAACACTCAAGTCGAGCAGGTTCTCTTCTATTAAATGTGTCCATTATTTAACAACAAGAAAACCCCCCTAAAATCCGGTACCAAAGTTCAAAAAGGTATAAGATTTCAGATAGCAAGTTTCAACAAATTTGACATGTTTTCATTTACGTTTCATGTAATGATAATAATAATACTGAGTAGGTCAGATATATAAACTGAAGTTCAAGATGTCATAAAATAGAATATGATCTTGGAGAAATTTTTCTATTATTATCAGGAGGCACAATTTGGTGTATAAACGTCTTATCCATCTTATCCGCTTATATCGATGGTTAAACTCCAAAAACACTCATCTCAAAATACGGCGTAGTAATTTTCCGCTCTTCCCTTTTTCATTTTTTAAAAGAAAAAGGCTTGGTATTATTTATTAGTTAACATTTTCTGCAAGTTTTCGTTAACGTGTCACAATTCGACTGTGAAACTACTAGAAGTATCTCGTTAGCGGTGTTTGAAAATTTTATTTTTTTGACGGAGGACACATCAATATCATTCCTGAAATTTTCGCAGAGTCTTCTTCAAACAGAGAAACAAAAATCACAGGAGTTTTCAAGAGTTGCCGCTAAGTAAAGAATTTAAAAAATAAAATATGAAAGGAAGTCTGCAACGTCGCAAAGTGAGATGCGAGGTCTGGTGGTTTCACCGTCGAATTATCTCACACTACGAGTGTATAAAAGCATAAGAGTAGCGCCTAACACATAGCGAATAACGCTTGAGGCGCGAAGCGCTTCGGGGGGTTGTTCCACGAAGCGGTCAGGGGGCGTAGTCCCTTGGTTCCTTTAAAGGTAAAAGCCAAAATTTTTGTTAGTTTATTCTTCATCATTGAAATATTAGCGAAGCTTTTGAGACGCTGTAATTGAGTTGCCTGTTCTCAGAATGTAGCCAGCGGTAATGGTATTAAATTTGTCGTTTAATTTTTAATTTAAGAAATTAGTAGTCCCACTACACAAAAAATTTTCTGAAACATTGTCAGTTATCCAGTGAGTCTCTTTGCCGAATAATGAATATCTGCGAGGGGCTTGAGGTAGAACTTAACATCTCTGAGAAAATCTTGAGAGCTTCAAAAAATAGAAGGATACACAAAGCCTCTGATTAAAACAGCCGGATAAAAAACACAAGATGGAGCGTGGAAACATTAATCAAATGTCACAATCTGAGCTGAGAGAAACTCACCCTTTCATGGATCCTCTCGTTCATCGTTGGTTTCCGCTTCTTGGCTCTTTTAACATTTAAAACTTTGACTAAAGGCTTAATCGTTATACCCTGAAATCAAAATATAGACGGCACAATAGGTTACCATAGGCTCAAAAAATGCAGATATGGATGATGAATGTTGGGATCGAGTTTAACAGGAAAGAAGCCGGTTTTTAAGTAGAAAACAAGGCGTCCGTTCTTAGGAAGAACAGCCACCCGTGTCAACCAAAAGGATCGCTCCATTTTCTCATAGTCTTTTCCGTTTACCGTTTTGTCTATAAATTTAAATAATCAGCCCGCAACACGGTTACATGAACCGAAAAGTACGATCGACATAGGACACCTTCCCATAGCTAATAGGACCGAACTTTTCTGTTGATGTAATTCTTGTGCCTATTTAAACAATTTTTAAGCGATTTCCTCTTTGATTTTTACAAGTTTTCTACATTTTCTTGTAGTCAATGCTATTAAGGCTATTTGAATTGAAAAAAAGTAACTATAGTCGTAAAGTAATTATAGTAACTATAGTAACTATCGTAAACTATAGTTATACATACACAGGGTTTACGTGCAACATAATTCCATTCACTACAAATATGTCGAAATCTTCAACCATGCTGCCGTAAGAATATTATTAGTACGCTGCCAAAAGTCGTCAAAAATACCGTGAATTTATTTTATAATTTGTGTATATTTTCCTGCCACTTTTTTACAGAATTCTCACTCACAATTTAGTCCAAAAACGGCTGAAAATTAAAAAAGAAAATATTTATACTTTTTCTCAAAAATGAATATCTTGTTTAAAAAAATTTGAGAGCCTTGGGAGTTTGACATGGTGTTTCTTCTGGACACGGGACTATTGAAAAAGTAAAATAAAATTTTGGGTAGAAGTATCGGGTCACCTGTATGAAGACGGTGAAGTAAATGACGGCAATGGTCGTGGTAACGAAGATAGGCTGAAGTTTGACCCTCTTGGGGTCGATGAGAAGCACAAGCGCGAAGGCGACCGCGCCTCTCAGGCCACCGTAGGACATCACAAATTTATCTACTCTATTTAACTTATATAACCTAAAATGATTTACAAACGAAGTGAGCAGCACCACCCCTGTAACAAAAAATCACAATCAGGTTTAAGAACGGAGCACCGCAATTCCACCGGGGAAAACCTTGCATAGGAGAGAAAAAGTGCAAAAATATCAAGTTTTCAACGAATGGATGGAGCACTCGAGCACCTTTGGAGCGAAAAAATTTATACAGCGAATCCTCCACCTTCCATGAAATCTTACTCTACAAAATAAAAGGGCGTAAAAAAACTAGAAACGTAACAACGCATATGTGTAGCGCGTAACGTATGCTGTTTTGTCTGAGATGACTTCAATTTTTTGCACACATACTTGTCATAGATCTCATTTTTATATAATTAATACTAATTTTTCTGTTTTAGCTTAATCAATTAGTATATTTAAACTCCCTGGTAAAAATTGGCGATAGGAGCTGCGTTTCAAAATACCATAGGAGTTCTTATAGCCGACTGAAGAAGGCGGTAGAAAATCATATAGCTGGCTGTAGATAGTGGAAAAAATCATACGGCCGGGCTACACGAAGCGATAAAAAATTATACAGCCGGGCTATAGTTCCTATCGCCGGGCTTTAAACTTTATCGCCTGGCTGTTGCTTTTTCGCCATCGGCTATAAAAGGCTATAAGAAATTGTGTAGAAATTCGTGTGCTTTGTAAATCCTTAAGTTTGTACGGAATCACTTTAATATTTACCAAACGCACATTATATTTTCCTTTACTACATATTTTTTTCATCAATTAAAATGAGAATAATCCATACAGAGTGTGCAAACATTTCAAAAGTCATGACTTGAAAAACGCTGACTCCACGAGATTAAATATTAGAGCCTAACACAAAGCGGAGCGGCGGCGCATTGGCGCCTACAAACCCAACAGGGATACTTCACGCATTGCGCTGTAGGCGCCAATGCGCGTTTCGCGCTGGCTGCCCGCCCACCGCGCCGCATCGCAGTGTACCACGGCGCTTGAAGCAACTATTTCACACCAGAGGTATTGCACAGTATCATACGAAATTGAAGGCGCTCCAACATATTGGGAATGGCAGGCATCCTCCAAAAGTACGGAGCTTTCCTTGAAAAAGAAATCAAGATACTACGGCCCAAAAAGAGAGCAGTGGTCCAAAAACGCACCAAGTCCTAGCATCCGTAATTGGTAACGTTTAGCATACACTTTATCGCCACGCTGTTGCTTAATCGCCATCGGCTATAAAAGGCTATAAGAAATTGTGTTGCCGGCTATAAAAGCTATCGGAAATCTTACAGCCGGCTGTAGGTCTATGGTATTTTGGAACATAGATTCTACTGCCAACTTTTACCAGGGCTAGATGAAACGAATTTTGAGGGGAAGTAGATTTCAAATATTCAGGCGCGCGTCACTGCTCTCTTGGGTAAACACAGAAGTGTACAAAAGGAGCAGAAAACCAAGGGGGAAATAAAGCGTGCATGAATAATGTCGTAATGGAAAGAATGGGGACTTTACAAGCTTTTAAAAGTTTTTTAAGCGCTCCAGGGCTTCGCTTACGAGCCATGTGCACGCTCATTACGCGACATTTCCATACTCAATGAAAGTTGTTTGTTTGCGCCGTGGTTTGGGACTTTGAGGACCCATTAATTTTCACATTCTGCAGGTGCTTTCATTAGAAGCAAAAATGAAAAAAATCGTGATGTAAATCCGCCTTTTGTTTTCTCCGACATAACATTACCACGAATTGAATGAGAATAAACAGAATCAGTCTAACTAGGTAGGTACATCAAAATTTCATTAATTTTCCATTTGGTTTCATTTATTCAATAATAAACGAATTAGCATTCTGACTTGGAATCGTGTGATCTTTATATCCAAGGAGAAATTCTAACGAAGTCTCAAGGCTTTATGTTTTTTGGTTCCTTGTTAAACAAATAACATTTAAGAGGAAATTAGGCAACGTCAAATGTGATTAGGCTGATACAATAATTTCGTCGAATGTTTTGTACTTAATTAACATCCCTATGGCTGAAGTCGGAAAATTCGAAACTCCATAGCAACGTGTAAAAAACTGCAGTCATGAATTTAATTCCTGTAGAAAATTGAAAATTTAAAACTCACAGAAAGTTTCAAGAAGTATGGTTGTTTGGTTTTATTTTTAATAGATACTGAAAAAGCAAGTATTCACAACGTCACAATTGAAGATGCATATTTTTTGACTTCACCATCTATTCATTCAAGTCATCTGAGAGATCAACGTGCGAGTTGGGCTTTACTCTTGCAATTTGGAACTATAATTTCTGGGTCGTCATTAAAAACGCTTCCGTGCATAGGGAAACAAATGGTGCGGACGTTGTTTCTAAACCGGGCCAGAAATTGTGGTTCCTAAGTTGCACTAAAGTGTCCAGTTATGGGCGTAACCAAGGTTAACTGTCCTTACTGCAACTAATTAATCATGAGTAATTCCGAATGACGATGCCCATTACTAAGTTTACAAACTCTCACTTTTGCACTCGTGCTTACCTAATAAGCCCCAGAGTTTGAAACCTGAACCAAGAACAGGCGAGTGAAATCATTTTTACCGGCATCTCGACTTCCCTCAGTCCGTACCAACGTCAACTTGTTGTTCACGTAATGAGCTCTTGTGTGGAAGCTCTGCGAGTTATTTTAGCGAAGATATGAACCTGCAGCGCAGTTACGTGCGCTATGCTTTACAAGGTTTGCATTCCTTTACTCAGTGTTCAAGTGAGCTCTATCGGTTTGGAAAATCAAGCTTTCAGAGGAAGACTATCGTCTACCATCGCCTTCACTGCGGGCTCTCATAACTGTTCCTACGAACCACTTGTAAAAGGTATGTCCGAAGCGTCGGAACATTATAGGAACACTTGATCTCATAGATGCTCCAATTGCTCCACTAATTGTGCGAGTACGTAACTCACCCATTTAAGGAGTACTCGATACGGAATGCTCAAAATACGATAGGTCAAGAGCAGAGAGTTAATCCAAAGACGGATTCAATCAAGATTAGCCTCTCAAATGTCACAATTTCAACCGGAAACTACACGGAGAAAAGGTTACCTTCTCTACGGTTACACAGCGGTTACACGATAGTAATATTACACACACAGGAACCTACGATAAGTAGAGACGTAGATTCTGGTGAGTATCTTGATGAGTACAGCACCATGCTCACAACTGGACTACATTTTGCAAATAGGAGCTATTTCTTCTGGCTCAGCCAAAAAGCGCCCATCTTCACAGGAGACCTCGTAGCACATATGCTGTTCCTAAAATGAACCGGAATTAGTAGTTCCCAATTTCAAATTGTAGTTCAGTTAGCATTGCCGTGTTCGCATAGTTGCTTCAGAGTGAACGTGATAATAACGGTGCACTCATATTACAATCACCAACTGCCATGAGTTTGAATAATCGGTTTTTTTTTCTCTCTGAGTATGGGACAATGAAACACATGTGCTTTAATAAATTTCACGAAATTGGTTTTCAGGTTATGAGTTTACGTATACTCACCAAGTTCCTTAGCAGAGGTTTTTAAAGAATAAAATACATATCATAAAAAACAGGCAACATAAAATGTACTTGATCTGCTTCTCGTTAATGTCGTCTCATTATTTAATGGGTTTTCTAGCAAAAATTAATTAATTAAAATGTTGGCGGAAAGCATTTTGATAACGATGCAAGCAAGTATTAGGTAGCGAAGTCGCCCTAAAAAGTATTATTTTCAAACATTTAGTCTCAGATATTTTAATTTTTCAAGCATAAATAAAAGCTGCCCTTGACTATTGTCAGGCTCTAGGAGCAGAGGGATACTCTGGAGGTACCTGACTGGGGGAGAGGGGTCAATCGGCCCCGTACCTAAGAAAAATTTGATTGAAAAATGCGCGGAGCAAAAATGTTTTGCGGATAATTAGGTTGACCAAAACTTAGTAATTTTAGAGCAGGTAATTCAGGTTTTTAAGATAAGATTAAGGTATTTCTAGATCAAGGTTTATAAATTGGACTATAAATAATTGATTAATAATTTGATATCTTATAGAAGTTTGTCTTATCTTATTTATAGGTCTGTGTGGGTCAGGAAAAGGGTATAGAGTTAGAGAAATGATAATAAAATATTATCTTGTTCAGGTAAGTTTTTCTTATAGTTATACTTGTTGGCGCGTATACGTAGTATACCGCCTTTGCGATCGTTTCGACCCCCCCCTCGATACAATAACCGAGTCCCCTAGTTCCTTACCGAAAAGTGACTACCGCGAACTTCTGAGATTTTCCAAAGCGTGTAAAAAGTTTACTAATCCGTCAATAATAATGATTAAAATTTGTTTCTCATTCTGGGGCTCGCTAGTTTATGTGTAATGAATACCAAGAGTCTACGTTTCTTGGTTTTTTTTAAAAAAACCTTAGAATGGGGCGCGCTGATTTAAAATATGCATATATAAGCGGAAGCAAGCGAACTGATTCGAGGATGGCTGACCAGTTCGGCACTCCTTGAATGAGAATTTCACTCACTCCGTTTTGTTCACAACGTTGCTTTGACATATCTCCACAACACTGTTATCCTTTTCAAAAGTTGGTACTCCTTGCTCTGATAGCCGGGGCCACCAGGATAGTGGTAAGTGCAATCTGTGATGAGCCTCGAGACTCATTAGACCATTTGCTAAACGTGGCTCATACAGGAGTCCACTAAGCCCTCTCGTCCCCACGCTCCTGATCACTGCGTCGGCGTCACGAAGAACAATGGGCCTTGGGTCCCAACGCGGCCGATACCCGTACCCCAATTACTCACGCTTCATTAACCATTTCACCGTCACGCTAGGATTCATCCAATTTTCAAAAAAAATTGTTTCGCATGTATTTAGCAATTTTTTCCTTACTCTCCGTTAAAACACAAATAAAAAGAGACCTCATTCATAAAAATCGGCCGAATAGAAGAGAAGTTACAGTAATCGAAATCCGAAGAAATCAACAAAACCTCGACTCCTCGATACGAAAAATAAAATGAAGGGGAAAAAAAGAAAGTATAAATTACAATTAAATATAATTGACC